GTCTTTTATCTTCCAGAGACAGTTGTAAGCACTGTGTAACTGCCTCGAGGGTGCTTGACCATTTTAACACAACGTGGTGCGATCATCCCCCTTGCGCGGAGTGAGGGTTCTCCACCCCGCACAACATGATCTACTCGACCACCATTATGGTTACCGCCAAAAAAAAAAAACGGAGGAAAAAAAAAAAAACGGTAACCTGGTTGCCGAGTTCACGAAGTGAATTGGCTTGTTTTACAACGTCGTTGCCAAGCGACGAAAACCCAATCCCGATGGCAAACACCGGGGGGGGCGGCTTGTTTTACAACGTCGTTGCCAAGCGACGAAAACCCAACCCCGATGGCAAACACCGGGGGGGGCAGCTTGTTTTACAACGTCGTTGCCAAGCGACGAAAACCCAACCCCGATGGCAAACACCGGGGGGGGCGGCTTGTTTTACAACGTCGTTGCCAAGCGACGAAAACCCAACCCCGATGGCAAACACCGGGGGGGGTGGGAGGGGGGGGGGTCACAATTACACCCCCGCCAGACGAGACGCAACACCATGCCGCTAGTCAAGCCACGCAACATCATGCCGCTAGTGGAACCACTGCTGCTGCAAGGCGCGAACAACTACTACTCCGATGCGCTGCTGCTGCTCCCACCACCATGATCCAGGCAGAGGTACGTACGCCAATCCCTCCGCTGCGTGACGCGTCGTGTCATCTTAACCCTCGGGCCGACGACTTCCTCCTCGTCCTCCGAATTCTCGTCGAACAGCACACACAGCATCCTAATAGGATACCGAGCGTGCTGTGCGCCGGCGACCATCCTCCTCTTGGATCTGGTGCAAAGCCGCCAACGCGACTGACAGCAGCACTGACTGACTGCACCCCTCCCCGTAGGTTTGGATATCCAACAAGCTTCTTCAACTCGGTCGCGACTTGAAAATTTCTGAAATTTTCAACTGCGCAGAGCGTTTCAATTTTTTTTTTGCCCGAGTTGAAAATTTATTTCTAAAAAGAAACGATTTTCTAAACCGTAAGAAGAAGCTCTATTCGGCTGGGAATTGAAAATTTCAATTTTTCAACTAGAATTTTTCAAACCGTAAGAAACGGCCTCACGACTTGTTATACTTACTTTGTCGCGAAGTGGTAGTTGTGTATGCTTACCTCTACCGGTGGTGTGGTGGGTTCGATTCGCGCGGCCTGCTGGTACATGGTACGTGTGCTACGTGCGAGGTTTGTTTGTGTTTGGATATAATGCAAGAGAAACTAAGTGCTGTCTGTGGACTTCTTCCGAGCGGATGGCTCCATCCAGATGTTTTGCGGTGCGTGTCCGCGGCGCCATGTATGTCTTGAGTTGTTCCTTTCACGCGGGTTTTCACAAAAAGTCAGGCGTTTTGTATGTCGAACCCTCTGTTCATCTGCCTTGGCCTGTAGCATGGCGATCGCCGTGCTATGTGTGTCATGTGTATCGTACGGACGGTGTGGCCTCTGTTCGTCCTACTGAGAGTGAGTGAGTGTGGACTGGACGGAACATATATTAGACTACTGCTGTATAGACTACGCATATATATCCTCAGTCAGGGAGAGAGAGGAGATGTATGCGGATTCAGAACGCGTCACCACCATGGGCATGATGGAGTTTTTCCACACCAAACAGACGGGGGCGGGGGGGGGNGGGGGGGGGGGGGGGGGGGGGGGGGGGGGGGGGGGTGCTCTCACAGGCGCAAAGCGCCGTGAGGTATGTTCAACGAGTCGCATGGAGGGATCGCTGCATCCTGTTTAGGGAGTTCTCCTCTTCTTGTTGTGCTTACCTTTCTTGCTTACATCTGACAGCTGCGAATGACTCAACCATATTTTCTGGTGCTTTGACTTACTTCCAGAGACAGTCCGAAAAGCACTACTACTACAGTGTACATGCCTCGAGGGTGCATGGACCACTTTTACCCCAACCAACGTAGTGCGATCATGCCCTTTTCGCGCGGAGTGAATGAAGATTACTCGACCACGCACAACATGATTCTACTCGACCGCCATTCCTTTAGACTATTATTATTATGGTTGCCAAAACAAGAAACACACGGGCAGAAAATAAGCGATAAGGAAGCGGACCAGCACAGACAGCCGTTCCTACCCACTGTGAAAGACAACAACACCCAAACGTAAACGTCCTCTGAAGACTGTCTCTGCAACATCATAGTAATACGTACCCCCACCTCGGAGCTACAGCAAGAAGACTACTACGAGTAGCACTAGTAAGTAAGCTGAACGCCCACAAGCAAGAAGAGCCCAGAGAATCGTGTCTGTCTGTCTCTGTTCACAAGAATTGAGAGGCGTCTAGCTAGATACATGGTACTGTGCTCTAACGGCCACCGCTCACTCATGCTGCGTGGCGAAGATACTCTCAGAGCAC